TGATCAGATCAAAGTTTATCTTGGACACAGGCAGAACCGTGATGTCCCATTTACGGAATTGCTTGCAAAGGTAGTTTGATTAATATCATATTATCCTTTTAACGTCAAAATAAGAGAGTCTGCTTCTTTCAGACATGTTATAATTTATCCATAGATCATTATTATTCTTGTTTGGAGTAATTATTGAAAATGCAGAAAAGAAGTGTTTTTATTTATCTAATTTATCCTCTATTTTACAGTGAAATTAATTCCCGACTTGATGCAGTATCTGAGATTCTCTTCTCAGAATCAAGTGTTCTTGGTCAAATCATATCTCTATTGTGTAAGGTTCCAGATGTTGAGAGAGGAATTTGTAGTATTTATCATAAAAAGGTAAGACTACAGATAATTTAAAAAACACATTCTTATTATATTTAAATCCAGGCAACATATCCTGAAATGTGTTTTATATATTGTGAGACAGAAAACAATTGAAAATATCTAAGCTTTTAACAATGGCAATTTTAAATTCTTAAAACTGTCCATGTTCCGTATATACTATCTTGTTAAAATTCATTGACTATTTTAAGCTATGTATTGGTACTTAACATTACAATTTAAAACTAAGTCAATTCTCTACCTACCATAACAGTTGAAATCAGGATGCATATATTTCAGTGTATATCCAAAATTAAGGAGAGAATAAAACAAACTTTGTTTAAATATTATCAGTGTATTAGAACTTATACAACAGACTTTTGTGCCATCTTAAAGAACTTCATTTGTTAGATTTGGAAGTTTTGCAAGACTGTTGTAACCTGAAGACTGATCATTTTAAATGATATTTATTTTTGCTTTTTTACAGTGTTCTGTTCAAGAATTCTACTTGGTAGTAAGCACACTCTCTAACTTGGAAACAGCAGTCAAAGCACTGGTTCCAGCTATACAAGTTCAAGTGCGGACATCCTTGCTGCATAAAAACCTCTTGGAAATTCCTGAATTGCTTAGTTCAACAAAAAAATATTTAAGTAAACTTAATGAAGAAGCAGCAAAGTAAATAAATTAAGCATATAATTTGTTGCTGGGTGGGTACTGTGTAGGTATGCAGTGACTTCATTTTTTAACTGAGTAGTGATTGTAACAAAAGTTTGGTTCTCTTCACCTTTCCCAACTTTTCTCAAATTGTTTGTAATGCAATTCATTCACACATATACATGATCCAACATAGATACATAGATGCTTTTTATTTTTTAAAAAATCATATGCTACATTAGTTTTTTAGAATTCCCATTACATTCTGTAAGACTATCTCAGCCTAATTCAGTTTTCCACATCTGGTTAGTGTTTGGCTGTAATCCATTTTGGGTGCACCACTCCTTTTTTGGTCTTTCCAAAAATGAAAGGACTTCTGTCACATACTGATTCTCCAGCTGTGCATGGTTCAGGCAAGTTCCCTTCTTAAACTTTGGCTAAGATCAACTATTGTGTAGAATTATGATATTTGACAATAATGTCTGAAAAGCAGACAAAATTGGTTTTTTTCTTTTCTCTTTAGTTTATCCCTCTCCCCACACACAAAGAGTTGGACTAACTGTGCAGAAGTTCTTTTGAAAAGATGCTTTTTTCTGGATCCTATAAATTTTCTTTCTACAATTAAATTATAGCGCCCTGGATCAGGGTTTTTCAATCTTTTCACAAATTGTACCACTTTTAGGACATGACAATATTCAAGTATCACCAGTGCCTAGCAAATTGTCAAAAACTTGAATACTAAAAAAAAGGGGGGAGGGAATTTTGGGTTTTACTGATTAGATTGATTTGTTGTTATAGAAATGGCTAGTTTATATTATTATGGAATAGTAAAAAGTTGAGGTTTGATGTTAATGCTTCATTCTACTGCAACAGAGTAAGTCGAAAGTCAGTGCCTTTTCTTTTCTTTTTTCCTTCTCCCCCTCACTTTTCTTTCCCTTTTTCCTCCCCACCATGTCCTACTATTTGCTTTTGTATTTTTGTATTTTATTCTATAATCTAATAAAATGTAAAACAAACTGTAAAAAAAGAAAAGAAAAAAATACTGATTTTACTCCTCCTTTTATATCCTCTCTTCTCTCCCCCTCCTCCTTTTATATCCTCTCCTCTCTCTCCCCTCCTTCTTTTATATCCTCTCTTCTCTCTCCCTCCTCCTCCTTTTATATCCTCTCCTTTCTCCCCCCTCCTCCTTTTTTCTTTTGGGTGCGCTGGAAGTGTCAATCAGCTGAAGCTGCATGGGCTGATCCTGGGCTCTCAGCAGAGCCCTGGCAACACTGTTGCTCCAGCTGAATCTCCGCCCAAAGACTGCCGGCCACCCCCCAGGCCATCGGAAGTGCCGATCAGCTGTAGCCATGTGTGCCAATCCAGAGCTCTAATCAGAACCCCAGCAACACCGCAGCTCCAGCTGACTCTCCCCACTGCTGCCACTGCTTCAACTCATCTACTTTTACACTTTTCTTTTACAGTGCTTTTCAACCCTCACAGGTGCCGAAGTACCACCAGGAGTACATGTACCACGGGTTGAAAAGCCCTGCCCTAGATCATATTAATATTATTTGTTTGTATTTGCTCATTTTGTTAGTGTTAAACAAATTTCTATGTTTGGTCTTGAATTAAAAGTTAATTTGAATTTTCTTTTAGAATTGGTGACAAAACCGAACTATTCAGGGATTTGGATGATTTTCCTTTAATAAGGAAGAGAAAGGATGAGATTCAGACAATACTCTGTCAAATCCAGAATCATATTCAGGATGTACGAAAAATACTAAATTCCTCCTCTGTGGACTACGTATCAGTATCAGGGCAAGAGGTAATATATATATAAACGCTTCTCTACGGGAGGGTGTCTTCCCCGCAGCCCTGAAGGAGGCGGTGGTGAGGCCCCTTCTTAAGAAGCCTTCCCTGGACCCAGATGCATTGGCTAACTATCGCCCGGTCTCCAACCTTCGCTTTGTGGCGAAGGTTGTTGAGAGTGTGGTTGCGCAGCAATTCCCCCGGCGCCTGGAGGAAACAGTCTAT